CCAAAACCCCAGGCCTGCAGGAGATCGCAACGTTGCTCAGACAGGGGGCGAACCCGTCGCGGCAGGCGATCGCGAATCTGGCGAGCAAGATCGCGGGCATGGGGGGGCGATCGAGGCCAGGATGGGCGCATTAGAGGAGAAGGTGAGGGACGTAGACATCCGCATCGCGAATGTCGGAAATCAAATCGACCAGGGCACCCCGAGGTCCGAGTTGAGCATGATCCAGGAGGCCTGGGACCAGATCAAGACAATGGAGATGGAGGTGTCGATGCTCAAAGGCGCGGCCTACCAGCGCCCGAACCCAAACGTCGACAAGACAGTCGTACTTGGCGCGTTGCAGACGCTCGGGGGGGTTGGGGGGGGTGAAGAAGTGGCCGGGGGAAAAGCTGCGGAAAGGGCATGGCCCACAGCCGGGGGGCGTGCGCGCGAGGGGGGACTTCCGGGGCGTGGCAGTCGCTACATTCCCTAGCGCGGGGGATCGAGACATTGTGGTGGGCCCATGTCGCAGGGCGTCTTTCCAGGAAGGGGGGGGGGGGGGGTGAGTTTGGGCGAAAGGGGGCCAGCCCTTCCCCAAGCGTGTCATTATTTCATCTGCTTTCGGCTTGAAGTATTTGATGAGCAATGTGGGTGCGAAGCGAAGGCGATCTGGGCGGGCCCCGACGACGGCGAAGTCTGGCTCGGTGTGGAGATGGTGGCCCGCGCGACGATTGACGGAGGCAACTCAGAGTTGTTTACGGTTGCGGTTGGGGGTCTTGGTTGACAGATGCATTTTATCTTTTTTATTCGATTTCATGTCTAAGCTCACTGGCAAGCTCGACGCGGTCGCTTCCAAGGGCGCGGGGAAGATGGGGGCCGAGGGAAAATCCCAAGGGCAAGGCGGCGGACAGCATTGCATATAGGGGCGCCAGCGGGGCGATAGCAGAGACGTTTCGCGCAAGAGCTCTGGAACCCTGTCCTTTCACCGGGTGTTTCGACCAGCTTCCAACAGCACTGCGGCGCGCGCTTGGTCGAATGGCGTAGCCAAGACGCCGCCTGCTGCAGCCGGGGGCGGCCGTTTGCGCCCCGCCCAGTTCTGAATTCACGATTGCTTCGTGGAACGTCGAGGGGTGCGCCATTGCAAAGCAAGCGGAGCTCGAACGTATCATGGGACGGGAGAGCATTGGCGCATTATGTATTCAGGAGACATGTCAGCATTTACCAGACACTTTCGTCACAGACACGGGGTACTTCGCTGTGCTATCAGGGGGCGCCGAGAGCAGAGCAGACGAAGACGAGGATCGATCGGGCGTCGGCTTCGCAGTTGCGCCACGAGCACGGAGGTCCATCATTGCTTTCCGCCGAGTGCCATCCAGGCTGGGATCGCTGAAACCACGGGTTCCCGGAGGCAGAGCCGCTCGTTTTTTCGGCGCGCGCTCCACGCAACGGTTGAGATTTCGTTAACAGGCGAAGTTTCTGCGTCGAGCTCTCGAAGACGTCGGCGCGCGGACCAAAACTGATTTTGAGAGATGTGAACGCGAGGCTATGCGTGCAGTTTCCTTGCGAATCGAATGTGGTAGGGCCGCATGTGTTCGCATCCCCCGGCGTGGAGTGCAAGCCGGCCGCCAACCGGCATCTGCTGGTGGAGGCGCGCGCCCAGCTCGCCATGTGTCTCGCCAGCGCCTTCTACGAGCTACCGCTGGGCAGCGCTGCCGCGCGCTGCAACGCGGGACGCCCAGCCGGGGAGAGCGCGTCTCTACGCGCCCGCTCGCAGATCGATCTCTTTGCGCGCGAGCAGAGCTGGTTGCATAACGTGAAGGCCGTGAGTTCCCACGCGCGCGCGCCGCTGTCGCCTCAGCATTTCCTGCTGCATGCCGCGCTCCAGATGGAGGTGGCGGAGGGCCCAGTTGAACGAACTCTCCAGCGAGACGCGCGATCAGCACTAGAGCCTGGAGCGAAGCTTTCTTTCGGACACTGCTTCGGCGAAGCGACGGAGCAGTGCGAGGGCACAGCGCCTGATGAGGGAAACGCGAACTTTGCGTGGCCTCGTCTCGCGGGCAGCTTTCGGCGGGCAGAAGAATCCACAGTGCCCACCGAGCGCCGTCGACCGAGGCGCCCCTGGGCGAGCAGTTGCGCCCTCCGTTTGGTTTTTTAAGGAGAACAGGAGGCAAGGCGCCAAGGGGGCGCCTTGGAAGAATATAAAATCGCAAAACACATTCGGGCATCAGTCGCCTGTGACCGGGCGCACTTGCTGCAGGAAGGCACCAGAGAGGGCGATCGGGCACAGATCCGGAAGTCGCGCAGGGGGCGAACGCGACAGCCTGGCAGACCACGGGGCAGCAGCGGCGAACTTGTGGACAGCGACAGGCGGGCAGAAACCTTGGCTGAGCATCTGGGGAAACTCCAGCGGGCGGCGCGTCCGACCATGGTCCTTCCGAATAGAGAGAACACCCACCCGGAACTGCCAGTGGGGCTCGGCGTCATCATGGAGTCAGAAGTCCGGGGGGCCGCGCAGAAATTGAAGAACGGTCGCGCAGCTGGACTCGATCATGTTCCGCCAGAGTTTCGGAAGGCCGAGGCCGAAGATGGGGGGGCCGGGTTTTTTTGGGTGACTCGATATTGCAACGTTGCATGGTCACGCATCCGCGCGCCCGAGGCGCGGCGGAAGGCCAAAGTTACGATGATCTACAAGAAAGGAGGCCCGTCGGCACGCGACAACTACAGGCCCATTAGCCTCCTACCAATAGGATGCAAAGTGTTCGTTATTAAATTGTTGGAAAGGTTGAAGCAAGCTGGCGCTGAATATCGCATCTGGCGCGCCCAATTTGGCTTCAGACCTGGCCGTGGGACTGGCGACGCAATATTTTTGGCCAGGCGAATCCTCGAGGACGCTTGGGCGACGATGCAAGGCTCGCCATTGCGACTTGCTTTGGACTGGGCAAAGGCCTTCGACTCAGTGTCGCTTCGCACCCTGGCAATATGATTGCGGAGGTCTGGTTGTCCCTCGAAATTGTCGCCACTGTTGAATCGATGTGCCACGATCGGTCTTTCGTCGTCTCAGACTCAGGCACCTTGTCGGCGGTGCGGAACCAGCAGTTTGGGATATGCCGGGGCTGTCGGCTACCAAAGTTTCTTTTTCGCAATAGTAATGGCAACGTGGTTAACCGACGCCCACTCCATGTTCCAGGTGCGCATGCCGAGTGCTCCGCAGCCGCATTTTGGTCAGGGAGTTGGCGCGCGCTGACGATGCTCTTCTGCTGAAGCCCAGACACCATCCAAGAACTGATGTCATGCATAGGATAATGTGGGCGACACTATGGACTGAACTTGACTTGGCGCAAGGTTGAAGCGATGCGCGTTCGCACTGGAGCTCATCTAGTCAATGGCGCAGGTGAGGCGGCGAATGGAACCAGCATCTTAGTGTATGTAGGCGCGCTGCCGTCCGCAGATAGCCGGAGCGTCGCGGAGCTTAACCGCAGACTTGGTGCGGCCAGGCTAGACTTCAACGTCGCGAGCGCAATTTGGTCGCATGCTGCATTGGCCCGCCGCCATGAGGTGCGAATTTTTAACGCCTGCGTAATTGCAAATTAACATACAATTGTTTACTTCTGTTTGAATCAGGCGGAACGACGGAACATCGACGAATTTCAAGCCCAGCGCCGGCGGAGGATTTTCCGCTTACCACCATCATACTACAGTAGAATGTTGACTCGCCTCTTCTTCTCGAGCATGGCGGAGCAGCGGCCTTTGAGCGAGCAAATTCGCAAACAGCAAATGCTCTTCCATGCGCGAGCTTGCGGGGCGCCCCAGCACAGACCCGGTGCGCATGTCCGTGTTTGAACCTGGCAGTTTTGACATACGATCGCCATCAGGACCTCGGAATTGAGGTCGGCCCCGACAAAACTGGGGCAACATGGTGATGAACAGTTGTCTACGCGTGGCCGGCTCCGCCGTTCGCCTTGCTGATTACTTCCGCCCGGAGGGCGGTGCAGCTCGAGCTTGGGCGTCGGCCGTGCGATTGTGGCACATGTAGTGCATTTTTCCCATATTTGCTAGCGCACAATTTGGCGCATGGCTTCTGACAGACTGACTAGAGCCCAAGAGGAACACCCATCATAATCATACACGTTCGACGGCCCGCGCGGATTTCTCGGATCTGCACTGGGCCCCCCTGGCGGCGTTTCCGGCACCGCCCCATGCGCGATCCACGCGCCATGGAGGGGTTTCCAGCGCAGATCCAAGAAATTCAGGCTGACCGTCGAACATTTATGTTTATGCATATGTTGTTTTTTTCTCTGTTGAGATGGGGGTCGATGCAGACGGGAGTCAGCCAGAGCGCCAGATTTTGCAGGAGCCTGCAGAGTTGTGGGTGCACTGACTGGGCTTGCGCGCAGGATCCTGCAGGATCTTGCAGGTTTCTTCGAAGCCCGTCTGTTGGCTTGGATTGACCGGGTCAGTGTGCGCCCGACAGAACATTGCCAAACATTTCGGATCTGTCGGGGGATGCATTCCCTAATGTCGCCGCCGCCGCCGTCGTCGCCGCCGTCGTCGTCGACGTCGTTGTCGTCGTCGTCGTCGTCGCCACCACTGTCGCCGCGTCAAGGTATCGACACAGTACCGATTTGGACACCGTTTCCTGGTGTCGTTGAGTTGAGAGTCGTTGACGTGAAGGAACCTCTTGGGCCGCATTCGGGCGCTTTGGGGGCCTCTTGGGCCGTGTTGGGCGGTCGAAAACCAGAAAAAACGATCACGTCGCCGTCGTCGTCGCCGTCGTCGTCGCCGTCGCCTTCGTCGTCGCCGTCGCCGTCGTCGTCGCCGTCGTCGTCGCCGTCGCCTTCGTCGTCGCCGTCGCCGTCGTCGTCGCCGTCGTCGTCGCCGTCGCCTTCGTCGTCGCCGTCGCCGTCGTCGTCGCCGTCGTCGTCGCCGTCGCCGTCGTCGCCGTCGTCGCCGTCGTCATCGTCGGCGTCGTCGCCGTCGCGGTCGCCGTCGCCGGCGGGGCCCCTCTACGCCCCCTGAGCGGGCAGGAACGCGGGGCTGCCCGCCGTCGGGCTGCCCTCGGCGCCCGAGGCGGCGCGCCTCGGGGAGCTGCGCGCGCGTGCTGCTGCGCCGATGCCGCCCGCGGGTAGGTCGAATACCCGTGGCCTAAGGTTCCCCCACGATGTCCAAGGATCGGCGGCGAGCGAAGCGGGGGGAAGTGAGAAAGCGAAGGCCTTCGCGGAAGGCGGCGGGACTTCTCCGAAGCCGTCGCGCTTTCTGAAAACTTGTCAGAAGGCCGGGGGAATTCCGAGCCTTCTGAGAAGGCCCGCCTTTTCTCATTTCCCCCCCTTCGCTTGCCACCGAAAGGAGGACCCCACGGCCTCAGGGGTTCCAAGGCGGCGCGAAGAGCTGGGGGCCCCTTGGGCCAGGGGCAACTTCAGCAACCCCCGATGTAGAGCTGCTGTTGGCGGCAAAGTCTGAACCCTGCCCTGGCCGATCCGAGTCCCAACCTCGTGCTTTAATTTACTTCTGGCCGACGTCTAGGTGCTCCTCCTCGATCCACTTCTGTTTGTTTTTGCTGTTCTGGCGGCCACGGGAGACTCTTTAAGCCTTCAGGGATTCTGGGGACCTCAGGATACTCTTGGAGACCTCTGAGGGCCTTTGGACACTTCGGTGGAGTCTTTCGCTATGGACCACTGCCAGTCAAGAGTAGAAGAGTCTGTCGACGAGGGAGGTGGATCGGCGGTAGAATCCGAACCCTACACTCGCCGATCCATGATTCAGGGAGTTTGATTGGCGGCACCTAGCTTGCCCCTTCCAGTCTTTCCCCGTGTAGAATGGAGGCCAATGGTAAAGCAGGCGGGGCCTACAAGAGCAGCATGAGCAAGATGAGCAGGAAGAGCAGGCGGAGCAGGAGGGGGAGGATTGGGTGGCGGAGGTGGTGGTGGATGGGTCATGGGGATGATGATGATGATGATGATGATGATGCTGATGATGCTGATGATGATGACGATGACGATGACGATGACGATGACGATGACGATGACGATGACGATGACGATGACGATGATGATGATGATGATGATGATGATGATGATGATGATGATGATGATGATGACGAAGACGATGACGATGACGATGACGATGACGATGACGATGACGATGACGATGATGATGATGATGATGATGATGATGATGATGATGATGATGATGATGATGATGATGATGATGATGATGATGACGATGATGATGATGATGACGATGATGATGATGATGATGATGAGTTTGCTGATGCGAATAAGTATGATTATGATGAGATGATGATGATGATGAATGATGAACGATGACGATGACAGACGATGACGATCGACGATGACGATGACGATGACGATGACGATGCCGATGACGAGACGATGAGAGGATGAAGATGATGATGATGATGATGACGATGATGATACGATGATGATGATGATGATGATGGTGGTGGTGATGATAGATGCATGATGTTACTGTTAGTAGTGTGCATGATGATGA